AGGACAGAGCAGAACTGCCCCGGGGGGTTCTGGAGACAATCTTTTCTGGAGCAGAAAGCCTTATTTTCCGCTTGAAGGGAGCTGGTGGGTTCAAACTGCTGCCCTTGTAGTTAGCAGCCCAACTCGTGGCCCACTATGCCACCAGGGCCCCCTAGCTGTTCACTAAGCGAGTCAGAGACAGGTACGGGAATGTCCAGCACCACAATTTGAGGACTAGGAATACAGGTCTCAAGTACCTGATCAAGAAAAGCAAGCACATCTTTCCCTCCCCCTCCTGCCCATTAGAACGCCTACTAAGGAGCCAGCAGTGATCCTATCACTCAGAACAAATTCAGACAGGACACTGAAAAGTCATAAATGGGGATGTTTGGTTGCCACCCACCCCTGTTGCAGATGCGTGAAGATTTGCGAGAGGTTCCAGAGGCCTGCACCCTTAAGGCTGGGAGAACCAGAGTTGCCCTGTGAGCTGTGCCGGGCAGGTGTTCCCAGCGCCCAGACCCCAGCATCTGGGGCCTGCTGCAGTCGTTTCTGCAGCCAGCTGGGGAAAGCAGAATTCAAAGCTGGGGCAGATATGACTTCAGTCCATGTCAGCCCCACATGTGATCCGGTCAGGGCACTGTCTGCCCCTCACACAGACACACACACACACACACACACACACCCGCCCACCACAAACCAGAACAGCCTCAGCCTTTACTGCAGGATGTTTATGTGAGCAAGTCATCCCTCTCTCGCTCTCTCTTTCTGCCCCCAACCTCTTATCTAAACACATGCTGCATAGTCACATGTACCCGCTGCAGGGATCATTCATTAGAAACACATTTCCTGAGTGACTACGGCACCGATGGACCAGGCTAAGGGACCAGCTGCCCGGTGGCTGACAGGTGCTAGGCTCCGGGAGCCAGACTTGCACAGAAGCAAGTTCCAGTCTCTTGGGGAATGAGGCGTTTACAGTGGAGAGCCGTGTCTGCTGTAACAGGCCAGGAAGTAGTCGGAGACTGCTCCAGGTGAGAGCCGGTATAGAGAGACTAACAACTGTGTGCAGCTAGGCAGGCGCTGTTTGGAGTCTAATTGGAACAAGCCGATGATTATAGAGGTCATTCCTGAGACAGTCAAGGGCATCTGAGTATGGACAGACAATACTGAAAAATTACTGTGAGTTCCACTACATGAAAAGACGCCAGTGTGGTTATGAAAAGATGGTCCTTAAGCAAAAGGATACAGTGTCAGAGATGTGCTTTAAAATACTTCGGAAAGAAAGGAAAGGAGGAGGAAGGGTGGGCAAGAAAGGCTGTAAAAGAACTGGGGAGGGGACAGGCAGAAAGGAGATGAAACAATCATTTGAGACAACATAATGTCAATGGTTCCTGCAGCAGGGTAATGAGCCTATAGGTGCTCACTGCATTACCTTGTCTTGTTGAACAGAAGCTACAACATGAGAGGTCTTCAAAATGATTCATGAAAGAATTCCATGTCCCGAGAGCTTGTTAAAGCCCTGGGGTGCATCGTGGTGGATGCCCTGCTGGAAGGAGGTGGGGCTATGAAAGGTTAGCAGGGTACTGAACAAAGGACCAAGAAGATTTGTGGGAACCAGGAAAGTAAAAACCCCCATCTGAGTAAGGACAGACAATACTGAAGAATTACTGTGAGTTCCACTAGATGAAAAGACGCCAGTGTGGTTATGAAAAGATGGTCGTGAGAGTTTGAAATGCATGTCAAATGCATGTCACACTGACAGATAAGTACAGTACAGTGACTATGGGGGTAGTGATCACCACAGGGTGCTGCACCTGCTGTGCCACCAGGGTGCAGAGGGCAGCCACAGGGCTCACAAACCAAGGCAGACTCTTCACTTGGACACTCACTGGCTGTGTGACCGGGGGTGAGTTTTAAGTATTCTGTTTTCTGTTTAAGCTCACAGACGCCCAGTGATCCCTGCAGAGTGCTAATGTAAGGACCTAATTAAGAATAAAAAGCTAAGCTCTTCCTTGGCTCCTTAAACATCTAAGATCCTTAGCCCTGGGAGGGCTTCTAAGCATACCAGTGCTCAGTCCAGTGTGTACACCTATCACCTCCCACAACCCAGACCCACACCCTTCAACACTAGGAAGTGAAGGAGACAGGCCAGGGCTGGGGGGTGTGGACATGGTGGCAAGGAGAACAGACAGACAGGCCAATCATGGGCAGAGAGGGAACCGGGGCTTATCTGGCTGTCCAGGATATGGGCCTCTAATGGCCACTGCCAACATCAGACTTAGCCCTTCAACTGGTTTATACTAAAGGGTATTGGGTTGATATCAGGAGAGGGGATAAGCAGAAAGTGAACATCTGAAGGAGTCAGGAATATTAAACATTTTCATGCAAGTATGTTCCAAGTATGGCTCTCAGCCACCCTACAACCATAAACAGTATATTCTCTGCATCTGACACCTAGCCTCAATCCCAAATCCAAGGTTATCATGCTTTTTCAGCTACTATAACCCTTCCAGACCACCCCAAAAGCCAACTTTCAGAGGTTAGGCCCTGTCACTGGGGGAGGCAGGCTTCCCCCTAAACTAGCACCTGAACACCAGTAGCCAACCCCTACCCATCACATCGTGGCCGACACCACCCTTGCCCATGACTGGAGGGAAATGTGGGCTAGCCCTAGTATTTGTCAGCGAAGTGTCCTCTGACATCTTTGAGGATAGACGCTCTCAGAGGCCAGCGCGCACACATGGGGGCCCCATGCTCACAGCGGGCCAGCGCTGTCCGTCAGCTCTGGGGCAGCAGGAAGAGCACTGGACAGAGCTAACGTCTCTACACTCCAAACCCTGGCTCGACCACCTTCTGTGTGACCTTGGCCACTCAGTCTACCGGGATGGCTTAATTTAGCTCTACCACAGGGCGGTTAGGCAGCACTGACCTCTCAGTTTGGGGAAACTAGAAAGGCAAAAAAAACCCAGAAACACAGATTCCCTGTAGTGGACTCTGATTCACGAGGATCCCGGGCACGTCACAGGAGATCCCATAGCTGGCTTATTCAGAAGTAGATTTCCAGGTCAACTCTCCAGTGCACATCGGGGTGAACTTGAACCTCCAACCTTTTGGGAAGCAGCCTAGGGCGCCAAATGCTTGTGCCACCCACAGGGCCCACTCTAAAAGAGCTCCCAGGAATGGTCTAGCACCTACTGACCCCAAACCAAAGTCAATGCCATCAAGTGAATTCTGATCACAGAGCACAGAGCAAGACTGCCACACAGACCCTCTGAGGCTGTACAGAAGCCTCATCACAAGTACCATACAGTCCTCTCTCGGAACAAGTGGTGGCTTGAACCATTGACCTTTCCATCCACAACGTGGTGCTATGACCACTGCACCACCAGGGCTCCTAGCACCTAGTAAAACGTTCTACTACTGAGTCCATTCTGACTCATAGTTACCCTATCAGGCAGAGTACAACTGCCCCTGCGAGTTACTGAAGCTCTAACCCTTAAGGGCACCCAGTAAGTACTTAGTAAATATTATCTTCCATTTGTGGGGTTGATGGGGGTGGGGTGGGTGGTAACTAGATGATAGACGGACTTGCTGAGTCTACTGCCTCCTGAGCGGGAGGGGCGAGACACAGTATCGGAGCACTGGGACACAAAACTTCAGCGGGCCAACTCTGTACCTTCCTGCAGCACGCGCTCACCAGGGGCGAGTTTAGTGACTGACTCGCACCTAAAACAGGGCTCCAGAGGCCGCTGCTACAAACTCAGCAGGACGCTGCCTGTGGCATCCGGTGCGTTACTGCTTAGATTGCCCCTACTGGTCAAAGTAGAAGTGCCCGATTCCTGCGCTGTGGAGCCCTGGGCAGTCTAGCGGGTCTCAGGTTCGAACCCACCAGCGGCTCGGCTCCCGTAAAGAGTTACAGTCTCGGACACTTACCAGGGCAGTCCTACCCTGCCCTGTAGGGTCGCTGGGAGTGAGCATCGCCTGGGCTGTGGTTTTGTTTGGTTTGGTTTTGAATCTTTACGGAAGCAGATTGGCACCTATCTCTCTGGCCGGGAAGCATGTGGCGGGTCCCAACTGCCAGCCTTTGGGTTAGCAGCAGAGAGTTGTTACACCAATGGGTTCTTTCCACCGGGCCCTGCGCGCGTTCAAATACAAAGTTCTGGCTTTAAGAGCTCAGGCTTCAGAATAAACAATGTGGAAGGAGACACACGACGACTCTGGTTTCAACACGCCTCTTTCCCATCTAGCTAAGGCTGTTCCCAGCTCCGCCGGAAGGTTGGACTTCGGTAAAATTGACCCCACCTGCCACCGAGGCAGCAGGGGCTGCTGGCAAGATCTCCCCAGCCCTTCCCCTCCGCAGGGCCAGCAGGTAGCAGCCGGGAGGGCGCGAGGAAGTGCCCGGGACTGGGAGCCCCGGGTCGACAGAGCCCCCGGGCCTAAAGCGGGCTGCCAAGGGGCGCGAGGCGCAAGCAGGATCTCCCCGCGACCCCTCTGGCCACTACCAGGGCCCGGGCTCCAGACTCGGTCCCAACCCGCCGCCGACTAAGCTACCGATATTTGGCCCAACTTAACTTCCTGTTAGTAAGGAGGGAGGGGGCCGGAGGGGAAAGGCGCCCAGTGCAGGGACGCGAAAGGCGCAGAGCCCAAAGCGTGGGAAGCCAATTAGGGAATGGTCTGATCCCCGGGTGGCGGGCGGCACTGCTCACTTTGTGTTGCCCTTTGGGGGGATGGGAATGTAGAATTGCCGGGTTTGAGCGTTGGGAAGTGGAGCCTCAATGGGCCGGTCGAGGGTGGGTGGGTAGAAGCATTTCGTTGCTATCTAATCGGTTCAGAAACCGCTCGGGGCTGCCCCGCGCTCCCCAGGCAGCGCCACCTGCTCGCCCGGCGCCCTGTGTGGGGCTTGGGACCGGAGATGTTCCGACCGCACCTGACCGACTCGGGCGCCGCGCTGGGCGCAGAGTCCAGCGGGGTTGGCACGGTCCCCTCCCCGCGCCGCCCACCCTAACCGCTGCCCCTTGCCTTACCGAGAGCCGTGCCGGCTGCCGGCCTCGGGTCAGCGCTGGCCTCCGTCCTGAGCCGCGGGCGCAGCGGTGCGGACCCGGGTGCCTGCGAAGCTGCGAGCTACGGAGGTGGCCCCGCACCAGCTTTGCTGGGGAGCGCCGGCAGCTGCGCGGCGCCGCGGACGGTGCCGGGAACCGCCCTCCTAGGCGGCGTAGCCAATAACAGGTAAGCCCGAGGGTGCGGCCTCACCCCCGGCTAGGGTCCTACGACCAATGGCAGCGCGGCATGGAGCCCACCCCCGCTCTCGCCCCGCCTCGCCTCCGCGGGCTGGCTGTCACCGCGGCAGCCGCGGGCGCACGTGGGCTGCAGCCTGGCGCAGAGCTCTGGGAGCGGCTAGGAGTTGTTCCCATTCTGACCAGCGCAGGTCGGAGAACCAATGGGGCGGGAGTGATGGTGTTGCCATTGGAAAACCCAGCTAATGTCCTAGTGTCAAGGCAAAGACAAAGGCTGTGGGTCTCCGCTCAGCTCCAAGACAAGTCTCAGCGTCCCCTTTGGACATGGGAGCCACAAGGTACTTCCAATACTGACTGTGCATATCCTGTTGATCTTCCTCCTGGCAGCGCTCCTCCACCACCAACGCTGCAGCACACTGGGCTTACTGAGAATAAAGCGTGGGGGACGAAGGCGATGGTTGTTGGAACCACTTTTGTTCCAACAAACAGAACAACAAAAATCACTCCCTAAAAATGATTCCAACCCGGGGCCACTCGCACGTGCTACAGAGTAGAACTGCTGCATAGGGTTTTCGTGGCTCTGCAGCCCTGGTGGCATAGTGTTGCGCTACTAACTGCAAGGTCGGCAGTTCAAAACCACCAGCCGCTCCACGGGAGAAAGACTGGGCTTTCTACTCCTGTTAACAGTTACCGTCTCAGAAACTCACCGGGGCCGCTCCACCCTGTGTTACTGGGTTGCTATGCGTCGCACCCACTCAAGGACAGTGAGTAATCTTCGTGGATGGAGAGCACCACCTGGCCCTTCTTCAACAGTGCTGCCAACCTTCAAGTTAGCTGTCAAGTACAAACCGTTTGGGCCACACAGGGACCTGGGCCAAATGACCTAAGTGTCCTCTTTTTGCCTGTCCAGTGCCTACCACACGCGTTCTGTAGTCTCCTATACCCTGGATGGCTCCAGACTCCAGAGCGTGCCACTTACAGAGATTACAGTGTGAATGGGGACGGGCCTGCAGAGCTGCTTTGGAAATGGTGACGCTACAGGCCACCTTGCCCAGCGGCTCTGGCAGCAGTGGCCCTTAAGGGCCAGGGAACCACGTTTTGCCCATCTCTGGAGCCCAGGATCAGGCTCCAGGCTTGGCTCGATAATGGCAACAGTCTGCCTTCTTTGAGTGGACCTGGAGGTATGTCCGGTTTGAGGACCCAGGGGGAGGACAGGAAGACTTGGGAAGTGAGAGAATGTTTTGTGGCTCCCAGCTGCTGGAAGCTCCGTAACACCAGCCCACCCTCTGGGGAAACCATCTTCCGTCTACATGCAAGTTCAAACAGAGCACCTCACCTACCTCAAACCTAGGGCTTCTTTTCCCCTTATTCTTTGGACTGTCATCCTATACCCTGCCTTTTGGGTTTTCCAGGGATTATCCTAGCTGACAAAGAGCCCTTGTAACATAATGCACACATTCGGCTGCTTATCTCAAGGTCAGCAGTTCAAAATCACATAGAGATTTTTCTCATTCAATTCTGGCAATGGGTCTAAAAACTGTATATTTTTATTATCATTCCTTTTTACAGATGTGGAAACTGAGACTCAGACTGAGCCTTGCAGAGGTCGCATGGGTAATAAGTACCAGCATCAGGATTTGAACCCAGCTCTGATTCCAGAATGGAACCCTGGTGGTATAGTGGGTTATGCAACTGTGGTAGTGAGATAATCTCCTGTCAACTTGCAAAGGGGTGGAGTCTAGCCTGTCAATTAGGTTGCAGCTTGATGACTTCATTTGGAGGGAGGCTAGAGATAAAAAAGCTCACTGGAGGCCAGATACACTCTCTCTTTGAGACACTCCTGCTGACAAGACATATGGAGCTACACTGATAGAGCCAGAGCCCTGGAGCTAGAGGAGCCACATGGAGACCCACGCCAGCGCCATGATGCTTCCACCACCACTGGATCCACAAGACTTTCCACCCACTGGCCTGTGATCTTCCTGTATTCTGCGTCACTGCATGTGTTGCGTGAGTCTGAAGAGGAATTTACGGACTGGTATCAGATATATGGGCTAATATTGGACTTGATCTGGATTGGACTGGGATGTTTTCTTAATATACAGTTACTCTTTAACATGAAGTTCCCTCTTACACATCTGAGTGTCAGTGAATTTGTTTCTCTAGTCTACCCAGACTAAAACAGCAATCACAGAGTTAGCAGTTTGAATTCCCCAACCGTTCCTCAGGAGGCTTTCTACTCCTGTGAAGAGTTAAAGCCTTGGGAATGAAATTGGGGCAGTTCTGCTCTGTCCTATAGGATCTTTATGAGTCATTGACTAGTGGAAGTAGGGTGCTTGTTTGGGTTCCCCCTGCCTTCTGAGTCCAGAATCTGCAGAGCTAAGTATTATATGCTGGGACCTTTCCCCCACCCTACTCTCATCCCTGGGGCCCTGGAAAGCCCAGGTCTGTTCCTGAAAGAATTGCTCTGAGGCCAGACTTCCCACCCTGAGTCATCCACACATTCTATGGTGCTCAGGCCTGGGCCCGGGCCTTGTCCAGGAGAGGAGCTCCAACCAGCCTGGCCCTGCTTCATTTAAAGAGCCAGGTAGGAAACGCAGGACAGAGAGGAGCTTCAGGAACAATGTCCCCTCTGCCTTGAGCTGGAGGTCACCAGGCACACGGCCTCTTGCTACTGGCTTGGGCCTGAGGCCCCCATGCTGGAAATGAAGCTGGGATCAGAGTCCCTTCGTGAGGTCTCACTTAACAAACCCTCCTGTGAGCTCGGAGTGGAGCAGATGAACAGGGCCAGAAGGACATGGCACTATGGAGCTGTATTTTTAAAATCACTTTTCTGGCGAACATTTCCCATCCCTTGTCTGCAGCACAGTGTTCTCCCTTCAAACTAAAACAAATTGAACACTATTTCAGGAACTGTAGGCCAACCCATTTAGAGCGTTAACACTGCTGGCAGAGGAGCCCCATCAGCTCAGAGAATGAGCTGCCTCCCCTCCCTCTGCCCGACCCCCAATCCTTTTAACTTACTGTATATACTGGTGTATAAGTCGAGCTTTTCAGCACATTTTTATTTAGTTTTTGTGGTAAAATTAGGTGCCTTGGCTGATATTCGGGCCAGCTTATACTCAAATATATATGGTAAGTATCTCAATAAGAAGGACCCTTGCAAGGTGGACTGGAGGGCTAGTGGGTACACTTTTCTTTGGGTATAGATGCAGGGAATAGCTAATAGGGGCTAACCACGTGGAAAGGGGCATGTATTAGCACCCCTAAACGAACTTTGTAACAGGTCTTGACAGAATTGCATCCTGAGCATGTCTCACTTGAATTGTAACATGTTAACCTCCATAACGAATCCCATAACTGTGAGTGTTGTCTGTGAGTTCTGTCTGACCGGTGCCATGGATTTGTGGAATCCTGGGTGGGTGGTCGGGGGAGTGGTGGTGGAGTCAAGAGCCCCTGTGGATGACAAAGCACCGTTTTCCACAAACTACCCTTGGTACGACGAGGTGGAAGGTGTGGAGGGACAGGAAGGAAGGGGGACAGGATGTCACACTCTACCTCTTCTAGACAAGACAAATTTTTATCATCAACCCTGAGAGGTCCTAGTGAACTAAGAAACAGTGTCTTGAAATGTATACAACCAAGCCCTAAAAGCAAAGATCCTGCATTGTTCCAATGGACCAAAAAGGGGACATCCCCCCAAGCCCCTCACTTAGCAGATTAAATACATAATGGAGACCCAGAGAGGGGAAGGCATTTGTCAGGGACAAAGGGTGTTAGTAGGTTCCACGTCTCCACCACCCCTTTCTACTGCTTAGCATGCCAGACAATCCCAACCTCCTTATGTTGCAACTCAGTGCTCCGTTTAAGAGCACCCTCTTCCCAAGCCCACTCTCCTAGGATGGTGACTGTGTGATTGTGAAGGTTGTCTGGGAGATGCAGATGGCCACATTAGCATCTGAGGGAGGGAGAGACAGGAGGTCCAAATTTACCTCTAAATATATCTCTACCGCAGACTGGAAGCAATAGGGCTCAACGGCATGAGGCATCCCTCCTCCTCAAAGGAATTCAGCTGATGCTCTCCTCATCATTGGTTATCCACCTGACGACGCTCTATCATGGCTGTGGGGATGTAAGGTCTCTGTCTTCCTGTTTCCAGCTTAGCAATGTGCCTGAGGAAACGTCAGCGGACTTCCTGGCATGGAGCTTTTCTGCAGACAAGTCCAAGTCCCTCTCACGGTGCTTGAATGGTAGGAAGTCGGGGAGCTATCTGCGCCTCCCCATGGAAATGAGAAGGCATCCTTGTACTTGAATCTTACCCTTCAAACCCCCTGGGAGAAAAATGAGGTGGTGTGCTCCCATAAAGATCGACTGTCTCGGAAAGTTGGATGGCAGAGGATTTAGGAAGCTGTCAAGTGACAATTCTTATTTATCTATTGTATCAAGCACTTACCAGGAAAGCAGGACCACGAACATGGCATAAGAGATGATAGCTGAGACCATGGTGGGAGCTGGGGAAAAGATGTAAGAAGGGCTGTTGTCTCAGAGCCCACTGGAGGGCTTGACGTTGTAGGCCAGCAGATGAGAGGATCTAAGAGGGAGCGTAACTAAACTACATTGAGAATCAACCATCTGCCTTTATATGGGTCAGTTCATTGGCTCTGTCCATGCCTCCCCCCTAACTTCTGCCATGGTCCTTGGCATCCCTAGGCTTATAGAGGCATCCCTGTCCCCGCTCCTCTGTCTTCACATGCCGTGGCCAGGTTTCCTCGAAACCTGTCTTTTCTCCTGTTCTCCTAAGGACACAAGTCATGGTGGAGCGAAGGCTCCCTTTGCTCCAGGATGACCTCATC